TCCTCCTCCTCCTAGCACGACGACTGCACGGCGCGACGCGCAAGCCCGCCCCAGGAGGCCGACGGCGGCTTCATCACGGAGTGCCCTGCCAGCGGCGGGGGCAGCTCGTGCCGGGACCGCCGCCCTGGGGGCCGGCGGCGCGTCCGCGGCGGCCTCGGCCCCGGGCTTTGCGGCGCGCGGGCAGGGCTTCTGGAGCGCGGGCGGCGCCGGTCTCAGATACTTTCCGGTCGGGGGCTTCGGGGCAACGCGTCGCTCCGCCCCTTCTGGCCCACCACGCTTCGGCGCGACACGCAATCCATTTCCGGCCCCCGGGCGCCCACGCCCCGAAGTTTTCTCCGAGCATCCGCCCCGCGAAGCGGGGCGACGCACTATCACCAAGCATGGCATAGCGCGTCACCGGCGCCGCCGCGGCGACACGCTATTCGAGAGTTTTCGACCGTAGGTGTCCGAAGGCCTGGCGTTTCTTCTCAAAGCGGCATAACCAGAATTGTTCGGGAGTTCCGCGCGGCCGTAGGATCGGCGCTGGGCACCCCTGGCGGCGGTTCCAGCGCCGCGCCTGGCGCACCCCGTGCTGCAGGGAGGAGGGCCCAGCGCCGGTCCTAGATCTGCGCGGCGTTCCGAAAATTAAATGTTCATGTTTTTTGTATGCCTATCTTCATTCGTGGCACGTTGGTGGCCTCGCCACCGCGGCGTGCGGGCAGAGCTTCTGGTGTGAGGATTTTTGTCGCCCTCGCCCACCGCTGGTTTCGAATATTCTAGATGTCCGCACGAGCTAGCTGGTGCGTGAGCTGTGGGAGGCTTGCCGACAGGATCGCGGCTTGGGCGCAGGGAAAGATTGCTAGATGCTTTCAACCGTATCACGCCGGTGGCGCCCCCCACGGCGGCGTGTCATCGATGTTCAGCCGCGCGCAGAGGGGGGTATGGGGGCGGGGAGAAGGTTTTTTGGAAGCACCTTTGCTTCTTAGAAGGCGCGGGCCTTCTCTGTAGATGTAAGCTGCGCCTTCTAAGAAGCAACCCCCTTCTGAGAAACTTTCCCCCACCCAAGATGGTGCGCTTGCTCCCCGAGCAGCTCCCTCCCCGCCCCACGGCCCAGTGCTCGGCGTCGGACCATTTGCCGCGGGGGAGGCGCCAGGAGGCCCACCGCTGCACTCGTGGCGCTGGGGCTTCTCGATGGAGCGCAGACGTGCATCGAGGCGCGCGTGGACTGGCGACGGGCCCCACTTCCGCACAGGGTCGGCGCGCTCCGTCGCCAGATTGGGCGGCATTGGCCCCGCGTTTCGGGGGTACCTTTGCCCGATCCGTGGGCGACAGATCCGCGGATCCGTGATCCTTCTCTGCGTGCGCCCGACTGTTGCACGCAACCAGCCACTCCGCGCGCCGAAGACCGCCGGAGGCCACCGCAGACCGCCAGAGACCGCCAGGAGACCTCCGAGGCAAGCGGCCGGGGCCTGTGGGCAACAGGGAGCCCATGGTCGAATGCGCAGGGATGCTTGTGCCCCGTTCAGACATTAGCCACCGCGGCGGCGACGACGACGGCGACGACGACGGCGGCGGCGACGGCGCCGGCGGCGGCGGCGACGGCGACGGCATCTGAGACAAGATGTGTATGTTGTATGTGTTGCTTGTTGATAGGGATGGTTGGCTTGCGCGCAGCAAGCAATATGAGGGCACCCCCGCCGCCCCTGTCAAAAACCTGTGCGAAGTGGTCGTGGGGCGCCCGCGCATGCTCCTGATTTTCAAGCAAAGTGCATTTTGCACTGTAAGCTGACAGGGATTGTTGGCCTGCGCACATGCGACGTGAGGGCACCCCCGCCGTCCCTGTCAAAGCCTACGCAAGGTGGTCGTGGGGCGCCCGCGCATGTTTCGGGTTCTGAGACAAAGTGTATGTTGTTTTATCTATTGACAAGGATGGCTGGCTTCGCAGCAAGCAGGATGAGGCCGCCCCGCCGTCCCTGCCAAAAACATATGCAACATGGTCGCGGGGCGCTCGCGCATGCTCCAGATTCGGAAGCAATGCGCATGTTGTCTTGTTAGCTGGCAGGGACTGTTGGCTTGCCCGCAGCAAGCAATGTGAGGGCACCCCCGCCGCCCCTGTCAAAAACCATACTGCAAAGTGGTCGCGGGGCGCCCGAGCATGCTACAGATTCGGGAGGCGAGTCGTGTTTCGCATGTTTTCCTCATAGGGACAGTCTGCCTACGCGCAGCAAGCAATACGAGGCCCCCCCGCCGTCCCTGCCGAAAGCCATACTGCAAAGTGGTCGCGGGGCCCCCGCGCGTGCTGCAGATTCGGATGCAGAGCTTATGCTGTATACTTGTTGGGGGGGCAGGGACTGTGGGGGAGGGGTCGTCCTGGGGACGGGGTGGCTGCCGCTCGCCCGGGGCAGGGTGTGCTTATCAGCAGGGCACAGTGAGAAGGCCCTCTCCGAAGGCGTAGAAGGGGGGGTCGGAAGAGGAAAAGCCCCAAACCACCTACACCCTAAAACCACCTACGCCCTGGAGGTTCGATCCAGCTAAGGTTCTCCATGGTTTCTTGGCTTCAGTCGGGGCGTGTCAAGTCTGGCGGCAGCTGATGTCTGCAATTTGTCGTCAGGCTAAAACAGCACGGGGCCAGTCGGGGATGGTAGTGGCTACCGGCATGGTCGGCACCAAAAGAAAATATGTGAAAGCAGCAACAATCGGAGGAGGACCAGTCGAGACCAACGGCGGCGTGGTCCTGGCGCTTTTTCCAAGTAAGGGCTCAGGCCAAGGGTTCTCTTTTAGTGTGCGGATGTTTGGCGCTGTACCGAAAAGGTGTCGAGCAGGTGGCGTCGGCATTGGGCATGTAAAAATACGTGTGCGGAAGGGGGGGTCTCCGACATGCGTCTCGTCGCGCATGCATGTGGCACGTGTTTTCACGTCACGTTTTCTTGGCGACAGCGGGGCCCCCAGAGGGGTATCCAATGTATTCGCGTCAGATTCGTCCAGATAAGTATAAGTACGCGGAAGGAGGCGTCCGCGCATGGCACGTGTTTTCACATGACCACGGAGGCGTCGGATATCCCACATGGGGTGTGGGGAGCGCTTCGCTCGAGGTATCTTTCCAGAATGCGGATGTTGGAGAAGTTGTGTTTCGACGTTGGTTCTCAAAAACGAGGCGTTCGTCGGAGACATCCTCGAACAATGGCATGCTTATAGATCAGACGTCATACATCTGACATGGTGTGGGCGGGGGCGTTTCGCCTGATACGCCTTCACAACATGAGTATGCTGGAGGAGCTGTTTTACGACGCTGGTTTTAACAAACGAGGCACTCGTTGGAGACATCCTCAGAAGAATGATATGTTTTAGCTCGGGCGTCGGATATCCAACATGGTGTGGAGGAAAGCACTTCGCCTGAGACATCATCACAAAATGCGGATGTTGGGGGGGTCGACGCTGGTTCTCAAAAATGAAGGGTTCGCTTGGGACATCCTCCGAAAGTTGAAAGGTTTGATGGAGATCGGGCGTCGGATATCCAACATCGTGTGGGGGGGAGCGTTTCGCCTGAGACATCCTCCCAAAATGGGGATGTTGGAGAAGTTGTGTTTCGACGCTGGTTCTCGAAAATGAAGGGTTCGCCTGGGACATCTTTGGAACATTGAGATGTTCGAGATCATACGTCAGATATCCAACATGGTGCTGGAGGGGGAGGGGCTCGCCTGAGCCACCCCGCACAGTAAAGAAGAGCAACTGTCCAAGGTGATCCTTGCATCCTTCCCCTTCGGAACATCCTTGGCCGCTTTCGCTGGCCGCGCCCCGCTCTCAAAGTGCTGACATGGCCTGCCGAGGCCGTGGCACCCTCACCGCGCGTCCTCGTTACACATGTTGGCTATACAGCAGCTTCGTGCCGCTGCGACTCGGCGACCCCAGCGCGAAGGTTCAAAATCGGCCCGCATGGAGTAATCTGCTCAATCGGAAAGCCGCGATGCTTCAAGGTTGACGTATGCAGGCGAGCCGCGACGTTTCAAGGCTGACGTATCCACGCGCAGGCCGTCGCGACACGACACGCACAGGTCGTCACGGCACGAACCTGCCGTACAGCCAAGACGTTGGAATAATCGCCAAGCGCGTTCCGCTACTCGCAAAGTGTCTACTCGCGAACGTCCGAAGTATGCAGGTCTTCCTCTATGCAGTATGTCGTAAAGCTTCCGCGGCGGATCCACGCAATTTGCGAGTGGTTGATTTGCGAGTAGTGGAACGCGCCTGTCCAAATAAGAAACACTTTGGTCTCGGGAGGGGCCCTGTAGCTTTTGGGCCCTTCCCTTTGAGATTCATGTTGAGGAGCCTCTTGGTGGCCGAGGCTCGGTGTGGCCAGAGAAGCCCCCTTCGTTCCTTCTTCGGCGTTCCCCATGGTAGCACGATGACTGTACGTGTCCTTCGACAACTCGTCTTCTCGCGCCCAAGCTGAGGTGTTAGGGCAGCGAGTCCTCGACAGGAGAGAGCGCGAGGCGGCGGATCTTTCGGACGAAGGCCTACTTGTTTGTGTTTGATGTGATGCATGTCTAACGCAATGATTTCGTCAGTCGGTGTGGTGCTCCCGCCTGCTCCTCCTCCTCCTCCTCCTCCTCCTCCTCCTCCTCCTCCTCCTCCTCCTCCTCCTCCCGCCTCCTCGTCCTCCTCCTCCTCCTCCCCCTCCTCCTCCTCCTCCTCCTCCTCCTCCTCCTCCTCCTCCTCCTCCCGCCTGCTCAGGACTACGAGAAGGGCGTCGACGGCGCCGCCATCCTGAGCCTGGTGCACGGGGTGCCCCTGGCGCCGCGCACGTCCGCGGCGGTGGCACGGACGCGCGGGGCACGACCACGGCGTCCGCCGCCCGTCTCTCCGTGCGGGCCTCGTCTGGGACGGGGGCCATGGCCACGAAGGAGGAGGAGGAGGAGGAGGAGGAGGAGGAGGACGAGGAGGACGAGGAGGAGGAGGAGGAGGAGGAGGAGGAGGAGGAGGAGGAGGAGGAGGAGGGGGGGAGGGGGGAGGGAGGAGGAGGAGGAGGAAGAGGAGGAGGAGGTGGCGGAAGAGAAAATGCCATAAGCACAAACGTTTGGCGCTCCTCGCGGAGTTCTTGGATCTGCGCTGGACGGGAGCCATGGCCACGACACCAGCGGAAGAACGCCAAAAGCATAAACAGTTGGCGCTCCGCGAGGAGTTCTCGGATCCGCGCTGCTGCCCCCTCCCTCGGCGCGCGGAGCGCGCCAGGGGCGGCGCCAGCGGCGCCGCCGGGGGGGGCACCAGCGCGGATCCCAGAAATCCGCGCGTAGCGCCACAAGTTTATGTTTATGGCTTTTCTGTTGTCTCCGAGACACCATGTTCGCAACCGCCACCGCGCACAGCACAGCTTGGCTGCCTCGACACGCCCGTCTTGAGACTCAACACGTGCCGTGCTCAAGACGTCCGTGCCAACACGTTGCGTGCTGGCGCTCCTCGTGCACCCGGGCCCCTCTGAGGCCAAGGAGGAGGAGGAGGAGGAGGAGGAGGAGGAGGAGGAGGAGGAGGAGGAGGAGGGGGAGGAGGAGGGGGAGGAGGAGGAGGGGGGGTCCTGATTGCTCATGGTACAGTGGACCTTCCTCGGGGTAGGCTCGCGACTGCGAGATGCTCAGCAAGCTGCGCAAACTGGGCGGGGCGAGGGCCCGCGCACCCTCTGCGCGCGCGTGCGCGCGGCTCCCTCCCTCTCCTCCCTCCTCCTGCGTGCTGGCCGATGCGCCTGCCGGTGCCCCCGCCCAGCTCCACCGCTGGTGCGGCCGCTCTGCCGCGCCGCCCGCGGCAGAGCGTGTGCGCGGCTCCCGCCGTGCCCCCCCTCGCCCTGCCCCCCTCGCCCCTCGCCTGGCGCCCCGCTCGCCCGGCGCCCGCGCCTCCCTGGGCCGCAGCTCCTCGGGATGGCCGGGGCGCAGTTCTCGGCCAATGGCACCTCGTGGCTGCCGCTGCGGTCTGACGCGGCGCAACCCCGGGGCGCTTTTTCCGACTCCTCCGGGCCGATTCGCGTCGATGTCCCAGGGCTCCGACTCGATCCGACTCGATGCGAACGTTCCGAGTCACGAGTCCGGCTTCGAGCTCGCCCGAACCGATTCCTGCCGATTTCGATTTGGCAGCCAATTTCTGCCGATTCTTCGGGACTGAAACCGGCCCCAGACTGGCCCAGCATCCTGTTTCTCCGCCGCTCCTCCGCCTGCTCCTCCACCCTGCCCTCCCACAGCTCGCGCTGGGCACCAGTGCGAGGCCCGCTGGCAGGAGGCAGATGGTCACGCACGCGCGAGTCTCCCTTTTGTGGGTCGTGCCCTGTTCCACCGTTCTTCCTTTCGGGGCCCTTTGCTGCCGGCGTCAGCCCAGATGATTTCGACCACGTTCGCTGGACAGCCTGCCAGTATGTGGTTGCGGGAGTGCCTGCAACGCCCAGCTTGTGGTAAGTTTCCTCCTCGCTTTCCTTTCGTCCTTCTCCTCTTCACCTTCGTCTGACCCCATCCGCCCGTGTCCCGAGTCCGGGGCCATGGCAAGCGTTTGCATCCGTGTTTGCAGAGATAGTGTAAAGATGTCGCACCCTGCAGGCTCAATCTGAAAATTTGTGCAGAGGACGGGTACCACCGTGCATCTGAGATGTACGGCTGTCGCCGAAAGTCTGGGGAGCTCTTCGCCCCCGGGTCGCGTTTAAGGGGCCCTTTTGCTGCTGGGTCTGCGTCCGAAGAGAAATCTGGCTCCATCCTTCCCTATCCTCATCGATGGGTTCCGATCGCGCCTGCAAGTGCTTGCCAGGAGTTGCCACCCAGCTATTCTCGGAGGTGGATAGACCTCCTACCCTGACACGTCGATTAAGGAATTGGCTGTTTTCGGTTCGCGAGAGGGCGTCGCGGCCGTCATTTTTGCGGGTCCGGGTCCGTGGGTTTCGGGCCCAGGCCGTTTTCACTAAGGGGAGGCTTACTAAAGAGAGGCTTGTCCACCGCCGATATTCCTGGCACCATCCAGGGCCAGGCAAACAGTGTGCCCCGTTGATGGTGAGGCCTGGATTCTGGTTTCTTCGACTGTCCGTTTCCGGTGCGGGTCCTGGCTGCGCAAGGAGATCCCCTTCGAAAAAGCGCAAGCATGCTCGCAGGCCCACCTCGCCGACAGCGTCGTATCGAGCCACGCCGCTGCTCGTCATCGTTAGAGCCATCCCAACACTTGCAGTGGCCCTCCCGGCACAATTTGCCCCACTCCTTGGTGGCGATTGGTGTTGCGAGCCCCAGAGGAACCGGCACCCATCCAGAGGAAGACAACAAATGTGGAATTGTAGAATGACGAGGCTCCGCGCGGATTTCTTGGATCGGCGCTGGACCCTCTTCCCTGGCGCGCGGATCACGCCAGGGGCGGCGCCAGAGGCGCCGCCGGGGGGCCCAGTGCCGATCCAAGGAACTCCGTGTGGAGCTCCGAATGTTTTGTTTATGCCGTGTTTTCTCCTTCGGCCATCCCCACGTGGGAGAGGCACGTCGGATGGCAGGGCCAGGCCCAGCAACCGACGGCATGATTTTTGTCGCAACGTCGACCCCCAGTGGTCTCGACGCATTCCCCTGTTTCTGGACGGCCCTCGGGCCTGGCGAGGGCCCCCCAAAGTCTGAAATTGCCAAAAACCCTCCCGCCGTGAAAGGTTTGTCCGCAACTGGAGTAGGCGGGCGGGGGTTACAGTAGGGAAACGAAGCATGGCATCAACAAAAACTCGGAGGTCCGCGCGGACCTCCGAGTTTTTGTGTTTCCGTCATTGTTCCTTCCCCTATACAGTGAGGACTCTGAATCATGAAGGACTTCGGGCTCAGGAGGGGCTCTGGTTTCCGAGCCGTTCCTTGCATCCAGGTCGGGGGCCCCGGTCGTGGCCGAGGCTCGCCGTGGCCAGAAAAGCTTTTTGTCGTTGCTTAGCCAGCGTTCCTCGGCCTCCAAAGGGGGTTCGAGGAGGTGGGGTCGTCGGTGGTGGACAGAACCCCCACCCTGATACGTCGATCAGTGAATTGCCCGTTTTCGGTTATCGAAAGGGCGCCGCGGCCGTCGTTTTCCAGGCTTGCGCCTGCCAGGTTTGGGCCCGAGGTCGTTTTCACTAAACCACGTTTTACTATAGGAATTCTGTCCATCCCCGATCCGAGGAGGTGGGGTCGGAGGGTCGCTCCGATGTGGAGCGAGCCTTTCGATGCATCGACGATGCGGCTCGATGTGGAGCCAGAGTTTCTCCGCGCCAATGGCGCCGATGCATCGCCGACTTCGCCGATGCGGCGCGATCCTCCAACCCCATCTCCTCCAACCCCGTCTTGGAGGCCTCTAGCCTTCCTATCGCAGCGCGACAGCTGTAGGTCGGCTGGCGGGGCCAAGGCTTCCCTGGGTGGGGGTCGGGGGCCACTGTGCCATCCTGCTACCACAAGGAACAGCAGGGAAGGAACAGAGGGGCTCTCCTGTCCGTGGCGAGGCTCGGCCACGAAGAGGCTCCCCGACATATATATATATATATATATATATATATATATATATATATATATATATCAGGAATAGCCCGAAAAGCGGAGCCCCTCCGGAGCCCCAAGGGGTCCCTCTTTCGGCAGCTTCACTGTGCCCGCCAAGGATCGCCCGGCCTCGCCGTCTGCCCTCCGACGAAGGCATCTATACACCACCACCGTGCCAGGCCAGGGCCATCCTGGGCCCCAGGATGGTGTGTAGACCCTCTTGGCCTCGGCCAGGAGGGCGTATACGCCATCCTGGGGCCCAGGATGGCCCTGCCTTGACACGGTGGTGGTGTATAGATGCCTTCTGCGAATGCCCGCCCTCTCGTGGCTCCGTGCCGCCCCCGCGGAGGACGGTGTCCGAGTACAACCGGGTCTTCTGCGGGGCCTACCCCGTCAACGCCGAGGACCCGCCCCGGTCAGACGCCCACGCGGTTGGCCCTGCAAGGGAGAGCGTGCGGCGTGGCGCCGCCAGCCCGCTCACTACACGCTAGCCCCTAGCTTGGGCATGGCGTGCAGCGAGGAGGCCTTGGCAGGGGGATAGCGTGCGCCGAGGTCCTGGCATCGCTCGGACGTGTGCATTTTTCCTTCGGCGAGGACCATGGAGGAGCATCCTTTATCATCTGGCGAAAAACCCACGCGCGAAACCGAAAAAAACACAGGGAATGGACGTCCAAGCGAAGGCGAGAGGTGGTCCTCGCAGGGGGATGGCGTGCGCAGAAGGGGCCCTCGCCGGTGGATCGCGTCACGGAGAGAAAGTGTTTTTTGTCGGAGATCGATGCTGCACGCCATCTTTGCAACGCCAACCGCACGGTGAGGAACGTTAAAGAGTGTGCCTTGGAGGTTTCAGACCTTCGAGGATGCCTCCTCTGCTGGGGGTGGCGGTGGCATCCATTGGCGAGCCTCAGTTGGTATCCCACCGGCTTTCAGATCCCAGATTCATTATCCAGGAGTTCCTCATCCAATGCCCTCGCCAGATTGTTGTGATGGCGAGTGTCGGACTCATCCCCCCTCCGTTGGCACCCACGAGCCAATCGACTTTGATCAAGCATCCCGCGTCGTCGTCCTCCATCCTTCTTACTCAGTTAAAGCACCCACCTGGCGCACTACAAGGCGTGTTCGTGGCCCAGGCTGGGCGACTCGCTTGGACTCCCCTACAGATGTCCCAACCATCGTGCGTTGAGTTAGGTCTGCGTTTTGAATCAGCAGCGCCCCGCGTTCCTCACCTCCCGCCCTCCTCCCGCTGCCCTCCACTCTCGTCCCATCCCTGCCTCTGCTCTCCGCATGCATATGTCGGGCACACCCCTCACACGTTTCGTGGCCCACTAGGGAGCTCCACCGAAGGCCCAAATGGCAGCGCCCGCATGGCAGCACCGCACCAGTTACGGCACAGCCCTCACGCGCTTCGTGGCCCCATAGGGAGCTCCACCGAAGGCCCCAGTGGCAGCGCCCGCATGGCGCCGCCGCACCCATTTCGGCACACCCCTCACATGTTTCGTGGCCCCAGAAGGAGTTCCATCGAAAGCGGTCAGCACCCACAATGTGGTATTCACAATTGCATATGGTTGGGTCTTCCGCCAGGCTATTATCTTGATGCTGAGAAGCTCCCAAAACTACCAGGATGGAATGCTGCTGGTGTTCAGAACGTCGCTATCGCCTTAACGTCGCGCGCATTCGTTTCAAAAGCTTCCAACAGTTACAGGATGGAGCCCGGATCGCTTTCACAATGTAGCTCCCCCGTGAGATGATATTAATATTTATGACCCGAAGTTCCAAAACTGTGCGACAGCTACACGGATGGAGGGCGGCCCTTTTTCAAGATCGGGCTCTCGCTTGAGACTTCCGCGAATGTTATACTTGTTTGTCGCAGCCGCGAGAGTCCTCGTCGCGTTCGGGGGCAGCCATGGGAGCAACGTGGCCGAATTGGGCACAGCAGGCGAAGGAGAAGAAGAAGCACGCTGAAGGAGGGAGGAGCACGTTCAGAGCGCGAAGTTATTAGACATGTGTGCCGGAGCACGCCACGGCGAGGAAGCGATAGTCCTTACAGCAGGGGCGGAGCTCGAGGCGAGGAACCACAACCCCAGGCGAACGTTATGAACAGACGGGGCTATCGTTGGACACATCCTTGAAGTTTCTCGTCCTACCTCTGTGTGCCTCTTTCTACGTCACCGACGGCCTCACTGCAGTACTTGCCTCCTTGTACTGGGCCCCGCCATCGCCCGTGGGTGCCCCGGCGCTGCGGCCCGGCTGCTGCCATGGTCCCCGTTGACGGGGCTGGCCGCGCCAGCACGCTCGGGACGGAGGCCTTCCGCCACGAGTGGCCCCGCCTCCCCCCCCCCCCCTCCCGCGGCCGCCCTGGCCGTCCCTTTCCTCCTCCTGCACGCTGGCCGATTCGCTTTTCGGTGCCCCCGTTCAGCTCCATCGCTGGCCCAGCCAATGTGCATCGCCGCCGACGAAAACCAGGAGGGAAAAAACACAGACACAATGAATCGTCGACTCCCAGGGAAATACTGGAAAATATGGGAAGTGGGGGGGAAAGACGAAAACCCAGAAAATATGGGAAAATATTGGGGATCATGTTATTTGTGTCTATTTATTGGTGTGCCCCAGGGCCCCTTCAGAATTATCCTGGCGAAGGACCCAACCATATGCAATTGTGAATACTGCAATTGTGAATATCTTCTCGGTGGAGCCCCCTACGGGGCCACGAAACGTACGAGGGGTGTGCCGAAATGGGTGTGCGGGACGCATGCGGGCACACCCACTGGGGCCTTCGGTGGAGCTCCTATGGGGCCACGAAACGTGTGAGGGGTGTGCCGAAATGGGTGTGCGGGACGCATGCGGGCACACCCACTGGGACCTTCGGCGGAGCTCCCTATGGGGCCACGGAACGCGTGAGGGGCGTGCCGAAATGGGTGTGGCTGACGCATGCGGGCGCGGGCACTGGGGCCTTCGGCGGAGCTCCCTATGGGCCACGAAACGTGTGAGGGGTGTGCCGAAATGGGTGTGGGTGGCGCATGCGGGCGCGGGCACTGGGGCCTTCGGTGGAGCTCCCTATGGAGCCACGAAACGTGTGAGGGGTGTGCCGACATGGGTGTGGGTGACGCATGCGGGCGCGGGCACTGGGGCCTTCGGTGGAGCTCCCTATGGAGCCACGAAACGTGTGAGGGGTGTGCCGAAATGGGTGTGGGTGGCGCATGCGGGCGCGGGTACTGGGGCCTTCGGTGGAGCTCCCTATGGAGCCACGAAACGTGTGAGGGGTGTGCCGAAATGGGTGTGGGTGACGCATGCGGGCGCGGGCACTGGGGCCTTCGGTGGAGCTCCCTATGCAGCCACGAAACGTGTGAGGGGTGTGCCGAAATGGGTGTGGTGACGCATGCGGGCGCGGGCACTGGGGCCTTCGGTGGAGCTCCCTATGGAGCCACGAAACGTGTGAGGGGTGTGCCGAAATGGGTGTGGGCGACGCATGCGGGCGCGGGCACTGGGGCCTTCGGTGGAGCTCCCTATGGAGCCACGAAACGTGTGAGGGGTGTGCCGAATGGGTGTGGGTGACGCATGTGGGCGCGGGCAGGCCTTCGGTGGAGCTCCCTATGGAGCCGCCGTGTGAGGGGTGTGCCGAATGGGTGTGGGTGACGCATGCGGGCGCGGGCACTGGGGCCTTCGGTGGAGCTCCCTATGGAGCCACGAAACGTGTGAGGGGTGTGCCGAAATGGGTGTGGGTGACGCATGCGGGCGCGGGCACTGGGGCCTTCGGTGGAGCTCCCCATGGAGCCACGAAACGTGTGAGGGGTGTGCCGAAATGGGTGTGGGTGACGCATGCGGGCGCGGGCACTGGGGCCTTCGGTGGAGCTCCCTATGGAGCCACGAAACGTGTGAGGGGTGTGCCGAAATGGGTGTGGGTGACGCATGCGGGCGCGGGCACTGGGGCCTTCGGTGGAGCTCCCTATGGAGCCACGAAACGTGTGAGGGGTGTGCCGAAATGGGTGTGGGTGACGCATGCGGGCGCGGGCACTGGGGCCTTCGGTGGAGCTCCCTATGGAGCCACGAAACGTGTGAGGGGTGTGCCGAAATGGGTGTGGGTGACGCATGCGGGCGCGGGCACTGGGGCCTTCGGTGGAGCTCCCTATGGAGCCACGAAACGTGTGAGGGGTGTGCCGAAATGGGTGTGGGTGACGCATGCGGGCGCGGGCACTGGGGCCTTCGGTGGAGCTCCCTATGGAGCCACGAAACGTGTGAGGGGTGTGCCGAAAGCGCATGCGGGCGCGGGCACTGGGGGGTGGAGCTCCTATGGAGCCACGAAACGTGTGAGGGGTGTGCCGAATTGGGTGTGGGTGACGCATGCGGGCGCGGGCACTGGGGCCTTCGGTGGAGCTCCCTATGGGGCCACGAAACGGTGTACTGGGTGCGTGAAGAGGAGAGGAGGAGAGGAGGGGAGGAGAGGAGGAGAGGAGAGGAGGCGGAGGAGGAGAGGAGGAGAGGAGACGCGGGCCACCGTCTCTTCAAAACGAGGACCCAACACCACAGGATGGTTGGGAAAAAACATGTTTTTTTTTTGCCAGATGGATGCAGGTCGGGTCATTCGCAACACGGGCCTCGCCCGAGCGGAAGGCCCCGCGGGCGTTCTTCCTTCGACGGGAGCGCGCTTCCCGGTGTGGAGAGGAGCACACGCTGTTTACTTCTAAGTATTCGAAAGTTCTTTGATTTTTGGGGGGCCAAGATCCTTTCATCCCTAATTGTTCTATCCTGGGCCTCTTCCTGGCCATTTGGGGGGCCGGGAACAATTAGAAGCGAACACAATTAGAAATGAGCACGAGTAGATATAAACGACGTGTACGTGTAGGGACTTCTGCGGGAGGGACCTGGGACGGGAGGGCGCATTGCAGCACCTATGATGCATTTGGGTTTAACTCTGGTATTCATCCTCCCCTTCCCTCCCCTCCTCCCCCGGAGAGGACATCCTCCCCTCTGATAGCGACCCCTAAGCCTCTCCTGGGGCGTGTTCGCACCATGCTCTCGAGGCGGATCCAGCGGACGAGGACACCCCAGAAGGCCCCGCAGATGCTACGAACTGCCCCCACAGCATCGATCCTCGATCCTCTTCTGGCCCAGCGAACACCTCATCCTTCCTCCGCCCCCTCCTCCCCTGGGCCCCTTCTTGGTTGCACCGGGGCCCGTAACGTAGCCCCAGAGGCCCAGATCGAGGAACTGTTAGCCGTCACCCGTTCATTTTTTGTCCTCGATCCGCGGTCCTCCCTTTTCTCTCCCCCAAGCGTGAACGAACCAATGCACAAACAAGAGAGATGATAATGGAAGTTGGCATCTTCAGATCAGATCTATCCGACCCAACGATCGCGATTTCGAGAGTCGGCCGTTCCCGCGATGACTCGGAACAGTCGGCTTGAAGCTAACAACGCAACGGGGAATACAATGCAGAAGCATGGGGTGCAATTCGGATAAGACAGCGACACAAACAAAAAGCGTCGGAGCTCCGCGCGGATTTCTTGGATCGGCGCTGGACCCCCCTCCCTGGCGCGCGAAGCGCGCCAGTGGCGCTGCCAGAGGCGCCGCCAGGGGGATCAGCGCGGAATCCTGAAAGTCGATGTTTGTGTGGTTATTGTTGCTCCTTTGCCAGTGCAAGCTTGGCAAGGAGGCAGGTTGGAATCACTGGGCTACGAGATATTTCCGCCCCCGTCTCATCACCTGGAAAGACGCGGACGTCACTCCCGGACATCCGACGATATGATTTTTCAATCCGCGGCCCCAAAGGTTCCGACCACCTTCCCCGGGGCCAGTTGTTCGCCCCGGATATGTTTCTGGTGATCCTGGGCCCGATGGTTGACCCCAGAGGCCCAGATCGATGAGAAAAGCGAATGGATAGGAAAAAAAGATCGTCGAAGATTTGGGGCTCTCGCCGTGGTCCTGGCCTTCCTCACAGAGAGGACTCGCAGCAGGGTGTCCCGGGAGTGCTGTACGGGCGCTACGCCAAGGACAGCGGGGCGTCGGGGCGGGCCAGTCGTCGTGGCCATCGTCGCCGCGTTCGTAGGAGGAGAAGGAGGAAGAGGAGGAGGATGAGGAAAGGGAGAAAAAGAACGAGGATAAGGATGAGGAGAAGTAGGAGGAAGGGGGAGAAGGGGGGAGGAGGAGGAGAAGTAGTGGTGCTTAGAAAGAGGAGGAAGAGGAGGAGGAGGAGGAGGAGGAGGAGAAGGACGAGGAGGAGGAGACAGGGGGAGGAGGAGCAGGAGGAGTGGGGATGAGGAGAACAAGGGGGAGGGGAGGGACGCGAACGAGGATGACGAGGAGGAGGAGGAGGAGGAGGAGGAGGAGGAGGAGGACAATGAGGATGATGTCGTTGCTGGTAATAGTGGTGATGCTGTTGAGAAAAACGTATTTCAGCAGCCCCCAGGGCGCGAGGGGGGAGATTTGGTTGTGGGAGAGTCCCCAGAGGCAGTGGGAAAGGCCAAGAGATTTGAGGAAGCAGCACGAATATTCATGAATGTTTGAAAGAGTGGTGGGACTCCTGGGACACCCTGCGGATGCCTGGAGACTTCTGGGGAATTCCGGGTCAACCGAAGGCTTCTCAGGAACCTTGGTGGGCCCCGAGAAATCCGAACGAGTCGTCGGAAATCCCGAGGAACATGAGAGAATCATGAGGAATCCATGTGAAGTCTCAGAAATCCAGAGGAATCCGCAGGACACCTTCGAAGAATCCGACGGATTCTTGTGGAGCCCTGAGGAACCTTCTGGAATCTTGAGGGCACTTCAGAAAGAATAGCATTCTGAGACATGTGAGAAATCTTCGGAATTCCCCGGAGTCCTGACGAACCCAGAAGAACCCAATGAAATCGTCATGAATCTTGCGGAATCCGTTGGACTATTCACAAGCCCAAAAGAATCTGCAGGACCAGAGGGGTCCGGCAGATTTCTGTGCAGCCTTGAGGAGTCTCTTGGGATCTTGAGGACACCTGCGGACACCTGAGGACCCCTGATGAATCATCACGGAAAGCCTGAACAATCTGAGAAATCTTCAGGCAGCTTCAAGAATCGGAAATTCTTGAGGCATCACAGGAAGCCCAGTGGAATTCTGCGGAGTCTGCAAGAGTCATTGGGTTTGGGGGGAGTCGAGGAAACCCAAGGAAACCGATTTTTTCCGGAGTCTTGAGGATTCTGAGGGTTTCCTCCAGAATCTTGAAAAACCCTGAGGAACCCAGAGGAATCCGGAAGATTCCCCAGGAACCTTGGGACATGATGAGGAGTTGTGAGGCAACCGAGGTTTGCTCATAGATCCTGGCGGGTCTCGTATAACCCAACGGAATGGTTAGCAACCTGAGAAGCATCAGGGATTTCATTACACGTGAGAAAACCAAATCACTGGATGATTTGAAAAATAATCTTATGGATCTTGAGATCGATAATGAGATCGATAGTGGAATCGATAGTGAGGACGATTGTAAGGTCGATCGTGAGACCGAGAGTGAATCGATTCAATGAGATCGATAGTGAGATCGATCGCGAGATCGCTCATACGATCTCTAGTGAGATCGCTTGTGAGATCGATGGTGAGATCGATAGAAAAGTGGGTAATGAGATCGATGGTGAGAGCGATCGATAAGAAGATCGACCAGGAGCCTAGGAACCAGGGAACCTCGCCGCCCTCTGAAATCGGCCCGGAAGCGGGAACCGGGAACCCGGGAACCCAGAACCAGGAACCCAGGAAACCAGACAGCAACCAAAATCGGCGGGACATTTTCGCCAAATCTTTCAACATCCGCGAGGACCCATTCAGTGCAAGCACTGATTGGGGAGCAGAAACCCGCTTGGCTTTTCATAGAGCATGAAAGGATCCTCCAGATTGTTTGGGAGACGCACAACATCTGCAAGATCCCCGGGAGGTGTTCAGGAATCCTGAAGACCCCTGAGCAATCCTAAAGGAAAGACAAAACATCTGAGGAAGCGTCATACATCTTCAGGAATTTGGGGGCATTATTAAGGAAGCCCGTGGAATTGTTAGGAATCTGTTTAGAATTGAGAAGAGTCAGGGACCCCCAAGACACCCGAAGGGGTCCGAAGGACCCTCAGGAATCGTATGCCATCTGACGGGATCCTGACGAGTCCTACGGAATCCCGTGTAGCCCTGAGGAGTCTTCGGGAACCTTCAGGACCCCTGAGCCTGAGTAAAGATCCCCAGGACCGCGAAGGAGTCCTGCAGGATCTTCAAGAATCGGAAAGGATCTATAGGATTCCAAAGGGTTTCTGAGGTGTCGCGGGGGCTCCTGGAGAATATTTCGAAATCCTGAGGGGTAGTGAAGTCTTCAGGAGTCTTGAGGGCCCGCATGAATCTTCAGGAACCCACAGGAATCCAAAGACATCTGAGGGAGCAGGAGAAACCTGGAGAAACCTCAGGACCTTCCACGAGATATGAGGAACCCCGAAGAATATTGCGGAAAAGCTTGAGAAGCCAGAGGAATCGTGAGGAATCCCAAGGGGTCCTCGAATATTTTGGGAGCTTTCGGGAGTATAGAGAATCATAGGATTGGCCTGGCCCGTGAGGCTCCCATTGGTTTTTATAGGAGTTCGGAAGAACTTCGATCGGGCTCCATGTCACTTCTGTGCACATCCCATGGGGTCAACCGGACCGCAATACAGGTGAAGTTGCGGGTAACGCGTATGGTTATCGAGGTTGTGGCGTTTGTGGGCGCATTAACCTCAGGCACAAATTCCAGCAACGAAGGAGGATTATTTTGACATGCTTGGTTGCACTAGCAGCTGGTGCGATGCGATGCGGTGCGCCCCCGCCGCCCCTTCCCCTGCGGGTGGGAGGTGATCTCAGAAGTCCGTCGTACCTCCCTGAGAGGGACGACGGGAAGGCGGCGGCCCCCTCCGTGGGGCACCCAAAAAAACGTTGCTCACGATGGTGGCGGTGTTGATGGCGATGTTGAATACAACGTTGGTGATGGGGATTGGGGTGAGGACGGCGATGACGATGCTGGTGCTGACGCTGGTGATGCTGGTTTTGGTGAATATGACGATGTTGATGGTGATGGTTGCGATGACGATGCTGACGAGGATGGTGAGGAAGAGCAGGATGAGGAGGGTAAGGCAGAGGGGGAGGTGAACAGGCAAGGGGTAATGGGAGGGTAAGGAACGGGAGTGGCCACAACAAATTGAGGGGCGCAGGGGGGGGAGAGAGAGAGAGAGGTGGAGGTGGAGTCCTCTTCCTCTCCTCTCAATTTTGGGTAACTCCTCCCTGTCGCTTCACTAGAAGTGTCCGTGGGGTATACCAGGCGTTCCGACTGAGGCCCCCTCGTCATCTATGATCCAGAATTTTGAAAATTCAGTTGCTCCAAGGAAGGAAGGTGATTGTTTTGAAAATTGGGCTCTCGCCTAGCGCCGCGCAAATTCGTCATAAACAGACCTATGGGACCACCCTTCGGGTGATAAGGAGGTTGTAAGTGGGAAGAACCAACTAAGGACAGCTGCGATGATTGTGATGGTGGCGATGCTGGTAATGCGTTCACGTGTTGGCGACGATGCAAGGGATGAGAAGCACGGGCCGGGACACCACGGGACACCGACGGGACACCGACGGGACACCGTCGGGACACCGATGGGACACCGACGAGACATCGACGGGACACCGACGGGACACCACGGCGGAACACCCTCGGCCACCGCCCGCGGACACCGACGGGACACCGACGGGACACCACGGCGGGACACCACGACGGGACACCCCCGGCCACGCCGGCCTACCGAAGTGGCAGTCTTTTGTTTCGACCCGCCTTAGCCACAGCGGGATCATTCCTCTCGCCCGCCCACGCAGCTTCGCCTCGCCCGCACGCACGACACGAGCCGAATGCCGAAAGCGATTTCCCAGTGGCGGGGGCTCCGTTCCACTTCGATCTCGGCCCCCAGCCTCCGATGCAACCTCTCTCATGGGGCCCTCGCCTTGGCGCCACGCGCGTGTGGTGTTAAATGTGTACGAGAGACACGGAGGGGTGGAGGACGGCCCCGTCTCGAGATGTAGCTCTCGCTTCGCCGCCCCGCACGCTCGCTTGAAGCATTTACAGCGGTTACGAGGATGGAGTACGGTTTCTTTTCAAAAAGGGGGCTTTCGCTCCAGACGTCCTCAGGCTCAAGACAAGAAGCGCAAACTGGTGCAACAGAGACACGGATGGAGGGCGCTCCTTTTCCAGAACGGAGCTCCCTTTGAACAGCCTGTCGAAATGTAAGACCATACCCTGGCGTACAGTCGGGGCCCTGAAGAAGGAACCCTTTTCGTTGGGGAGGGGCTGGGTGTTCCTTGAGTGTTTCACAGCTTGCCCAAGGTTTTCCTTCGGCTTTCGATCGGAAATCGAAGTTTAACTTATGGAAAAAAGGGGCCTCGTTCCTTATTTAGAGTTCCTTAGGTCAACGCCCTGACTGTATTCCGCATGCTGGACCAGAAAGGCACAAGGCAACCCCTTCATAACAGGGCTTTCTCCTGACAGGCAGGCCCATGGAGCCTTCGTCTTTCAAGGCGGCGCGTCTTGCAGTGGAGAGGGGGGCTTGTAGGGACTTGTGCGGAGGGGACTTCGGACGCGAGAGTGTATTGCAGCATCGTTGATGCATCCTGGGTTTACTCTGCTCCTCCTCCTCCTCCTCCTCCTCGTCCCCCTCCTCCTCCTCCTCCTCCTCCTCCTCCTCCTCCTCTTATTCCTCCGCCCTTTCGTTTGGAGAGGGGGACGGGGAAGACAGGGGTGGAGAAAGGGGAAAGGATGGAAAGTAGAGGAGAGCAGGAGGAGGAGGAGGAGGAATATAGAACGGAGAAGAGGACGAGGAGGACGAGCAGGAGAAGGACAGGGACGAGAAGGAGACGGGAGACAGTAGGCCGGAGGGCAGGGACGAAGAGAAGGAGAAGGCGGATGACTGTGGCGGTGGTGGTGATCACGATGAGGACGATGAGGATGAAGAGGAGGAGTTCGTCGAGGAATCTCCCGTTGCCGATCGAAGGGGATCTCGAGCGAGCCATTTGCAGGTGTGTGTGAGAGCTCAGGTGGCAAGGCCCACCACGCGCCAGAGAGGTGGATGGATTGAGGACCCCGCTCTGGCTGCACTCGAGGAGTTCGTCGAGGAGTCATCCACCTCACCGTGCTTGCGCCGAGGGTCACAGGAGGAGGGAGGAGGAGGGGGGAGGAGGGGGGAGGAGGGGGGAGGAGGAGGAGGAGAGGGGGAGGGGGAGGAGAGAGGAGGAGGAGGAGGAGGAGGAGGAGGAGGAGGAGGAGGAGGAGAGAAGGAGGAGGAGGAGGAGGAGGTTCCGAGAGATCCCGCGGGGTCTCCTGGGTGCTCGCCCGGCCGCCCCCGTGGGCGCCCCGTGCGCCGGCGGGCGTTCCGACGGCACCGCGGAGCCCGCACCCCACGGCGTGCACGGCGCAGCTCGCACTGCACAGTTTCCACCGTACAGCTCACACCTCCCTCCTCCTCCTCCTCCTCCTCCCTCCTCCTCCTCCCTCCTCCTCCTCCCTCTCCCCCTCCCTCCTCCCCTCCTTCTCCCTCCTCTCCTCCTCCTCCTCCTCCTCCTCCTCCTCCTCCTCCTCCTGTTCCTCCTCTTCCTCCTCTTCCTCCTCCACCGAGGACACACGACCACGTGTGGCTTGCACTACAGTCGGCCTGGATTAGTAGATCGGCCCTGCCAGATGAAGGGTACCCTCGTGTCCTGTGCCTCGCGACACGTGCCTTCTTACACTTCAATGGCGATGTGGCCCTCGGAAGGGTCTTGTGTCCTTTCGCTTGTCCTGTCCAATCGAGTCCGACTGCATCCAGCTTGCATCACACAGGCTGCGCCGAGTGTGTTGCGTCACGCAGCTGGCACCACACAGCGTGCACCACGCTGCCTGCAACGCATGGCTTGTGCCACATGGCCTGCGCCGCAGAGCGTGCACCGCGTAGACTCCCTTTTCTAAGAGGGTAAGAGACTTCACCCTCCTCCCGAGCCCGGACTGATCCGTGCGTTTGTCCGTGTAGCAACGCACAAATTATCCGACCTCATCCTTGCGCACTTTCAAATAAGACTATCCCTGTCAGTCGTATCGACCCCCTCCTGCATCCCTGTCAGATAGCAGCGTGCGGTGCACACGCGTCGACCTGGGAAGTGATTTTGCGAAGGACCCCTTCCCCAAAAAAACATGTGGCGGGACACATGCGCGCTTCGCCGCCCGCACGCATGGCAAAATCCGTCAGAACTCATTGGTTGGGCGAGTCAGACACCATCAAGTGCCAAGCGTTCTTCAACGCAAAACTTGCAAGATTTCTGCGCGGAAGCATCGAAATCTTACAAAAGCCGTGGATATGTTGTTTGCACATGGTGCCAAGAGAGGCCATGCAGGCCACTTGCGCGCGCCTGTCGAAAAGGTTAAACCACCATCGCGCGCCCATCAACTCTATCAAATAACGCCATGTGGACCACACGCGCGCATCCGCCGCGCGTGCACGTCGAAATCCTTCCAAAACCAGTGGTTCTCCAACCATGCCAGCAGAGAGGTGTTCAAAAGCATGCGAAGACCCAGCGGTTTTCAATCGAAAAACAGGTGGGATGTCTAAGCTCCTGCGGGCGCGCACTTCCTCATCACCATCATCAGCACAATTGTTATTATCATCGTCAGCGTCGTCATTGTCATCGTTAGCATCACCACCATCATCATCACCATCATCGTCGTCGTCGGGATCATCGCCGCCGCCGTCACTTGTGTCATCGTCAACGCCGTTGCCCTCCTCATGCCGCGGGGATCATGCCAGCATCACGACCAGCACCATCGTCGTCGTCGTCGACATCGTCCACGCCGTCGTCATCAACATCACCTGCGTAATCGTCACCGCCGTTGTCGCCAGCCATTTAGGTTTCGCCAACAAGTTGCGAGTGCGTGGGTGGGATGTTTGCACGAGCAGCGGAGCTGACTACTTTAATACTAGCTGGGTGTATTGCACAACGCAGATTGCATCGCGTGCATCGCACAGCACAGCTTGCACCGCAGCGCTTGCACCGCATAGCTGCCAAACACAGAGTGCACAAAAATGGCAGCTTGGTGTCCACGCTGGCGGGCATGATGATGATGTTGATGAGGGCGATGGCGATGTCGACGATGTTGATGATGACACTGATGAGAGAGAGAGAGAGAAAGCTGAATGCAAAGCACATGAGCACAAATGCCGTGGCCTCACAGGGCGTCGCAATACCGCTTCACGGCTGCGCGCCAGGCTGCGACAGAAATGATGCTATCATGCCAGAGTTGCGACAGGGCCTCCTCACCCCCCGCGGACTGGACAGCGTGGGCAATAATTGATTCGGTCCAAGTTTTCCAGGGGCGCCCCCGCGTTCGCTTGAAGTTCTATGGTGCTAGCTTGCATGAAAATGGGCGTAGGACTGTGCATCTGATAGGGTCATCAGCTGGCTTTCGGGCATTATGCCCCAGGGGGGCAACAGTTGTCGATTCAGTAGAGTACTGTTCAACGGGGAAACGCCTGCTTGCTGCAAAACAGTGAAATTCGTTACTGGGCTAAGGTATGAATGATGTATGCGAAATATCTGCCTCACACATCTCACGTGGAATGCGTCGAGCTTCTTCGCTTCCGCCTGGTTCAGGAAGGCCGTATGCAAACAATACGGCAGTTCACTGAGAATGCAAGCGCTGAAGATCTCAAGCTTCCTTGACTGCGCCAGCGTGGAATGACCCCACACTCATTTCACCTTGTCGAATTCCGCCTGCGCGGCGCCGAGTCGGCGGGAGAGTTCAGGGCCAATCATCCCGTCGCTTGAAATCAGGCTGCCCAGATATTGAATGCTCTCTTTCTGCGGCACCCAGGAAGCGTCTGGCCTTGGAATGTTCGAGAGAGCGTGATCCACCGCCGCTTTACTGTGGAAAATTGCCGCCCTTTTCCTCCGGAACCCGGGGGTCCCCCCCCCTCCGAAAATCCTCCCCCCTGCTGGAACCCCGGCAAACCCCCCCCCCCTCCCCTAACCCCCCCCCCAAACCCCCCCCCCCCCCTCGAGCTCGAAAACCTGGAGGGGTCACTACCGGTTCGAACCCCCCCCCCCTCGAAAACCGGAGGGGGGGGTCACTACCAGTTCGAACCACTGAGCTGTCCCACTGTTCCCACCACTGTCCCCACTGTCCCTACCACTGTCCCCACTGTACCGCTGTCCCATTGTCCCACCGCCGTCCTCGCCACCGCCTTCACCACTGTCCCCACCACCCACTGTACCCTCCACTGTCCTGCTGTTTCCACCACCACTGTCCCACCACCACCACTGTCTGTTCCCACCACCACTGTCCCCACCACCACCGTCCCCACCACTGTCCCACTGTCCCCACCACCACTGTCCCTTCACCACTGTCCCAACCACCACCGTCCCCACCACTGTCTGTCCGCACCCCCCCTCGGTTTTCGAGGGGGGGCGGGGGGGGGGGTTCGAACCGGTAGTGACCCCCCCCTTTTCATGATGCTGGGGGGGGGGGAGGGGTTCGAACCGGTAGTGACCCCCCCCCTTTTCATGATGGGGGGGGGGGGAGGGGTTCGAACCGGTAGTGACCCCCCCCGGTTTTCCGGAGGGGGGGGGGGAGGGGTTCGAACCGGTAGTGACCCCCCCCCCGGTTTTCCGCTAGCAGCGGTAGAACACGCTCTTTCCAACCGCATCGCATCCAACGGATATAACTTCCTGGGCGACTAGGTACGATGATGACGGTGATAATGGTGAGTAGAAGTATTCCTTCTCTCCCTCCTCCCTCTATCTTCCTTCCACCTCCCTCTGTCTTCCTTTTCAGTATCCTCCTCCGCCACCTCCTCGTCGTCATCCTTCTCCTCCTCCTTAGCGTTCCTCCCCCTGCTCGCGCAGCCGCGCGGGAACCCAGGACGAGTACGGCGGTGGCAACCCCTGGGTACTCATCACGGCGGCGTTGGCGTCGTTGTTCTACCAGGCGGCACCTTCATCGTCCTCCTCCTCCTCCTCCTCCTCCTCCTCCTCCTCCTCCTCCTCCTCGGGGGTCTCGTGAGGTGCGAGCATCCGTACCCATTTGCTCAAGAGCTCGACCGCTTGCGGCCCCTGTTCATGCACCCGGCCGCCTGCGCATACACCAGGCTCCTCGTGCTGTTGCCGCTCGCTCTGTCCCGCTTCAAGAACCTGCCGATCCGTGGGCTGCTGCCGCCATGGCGCCTGCCCCAGCCTCCGCCCGCATCGCAGCCGCCAGCCCCGCCCGCTCGGCCAGTCGCGCGCCCAGCGGCGCAAGCCCGCGGACGAAGCCGGCGGGACCGCGGCTGCCCATGGGGCTCCCAAAAGCCCACGCACACGTCCGCCCGCGTCTGCCAGTGCCGCGGGCTCGGATGGTGGGGCGCCGGCCGCGGCAATTGCTGATGGCCCTCCTGCTGCTGCGGCCTCTGGCGCGCGCGCGCCCCGGTGCAGCCTCCCAGCCAATCGGGCCCTCACTCGGTGCAAGATCAAGGAGTCCGTCGACCGACTTCCGGCCTCATGTCCCGAGAACGTGCGCACTGCCCTGGCGGATATTTTGGACAGCACCGGTACCCAGCTTGGGTCGGCCTGCCAGACCGTCACGACCGACTTCCAGAGCAAAATCTCTGGCCTCGTCGCCGACCACGCCGCCAAGCTGGACGCCAAGATCGGCGAGCTCCACGACGAAGTCCACGAGTGCTGCGAACGGGTCGACGGCAGTGCGGGCGTCAAGGACATCGTGCGCATCTCCGCGACCCCGAACCGAACTCCTTTTCTTCACGGTCAACTCCAAGGACGATACAGCCCCAGATGCAATGCAGCATGCCTTCGGCACCTGGCTGCAGGTCGCTGGACGGCAGCCAGAGCACGTCACCCTCCACTTCGCCAGCCCTGGCCGGCGTTTCCATGTCGAGGAGCACAGCGGCGTCGTCGGCAACGCCCCGCGCTATCCCCTTGGCCCAAGCCCTCAAGTTCCCAGACGCGCGCTGACTCAGCTGCACCCACCGTGGTTGGATCCGCAGGGCCCCTATACATCAACCCTGACCGTTCTCTACGCACCCAGCGGATGGAGTTCAGACCAAGCGCTTGGCCCAGACCCTTGAACGCAAGTACAACCAGCTCGATTGCCAGCCCAACCGTGGCAAGGGCGAGGTCACAGTCGACTGCATGCCAATCGCCAGGGTCATCTTTCCGAACGTCCCCGACGTGCCTTCTAAGATCGAGTGGAAGCGGCCCGAGACGAAACGGCTCGGCATCGACTGCGACCTCATCGGCGCACAGTTTCAGAAGCTCTTTCAGGATTTGGGCTCCGACATGCCGTGGTCCAAGCCGGTGTTGGGCCCCGTGGGCAGACCCGTGCAAACCGCTGATTGTGGGAATTTAGAATGTGTGCAGCCTCTTCTGCACCTCCTGCGGAAATCGGAGGCGCAAACCAGTTGCGTTACGGATGCCTCTGCAGAAGTTGCGTTTGTCTTGGTCCAGGAGATACACGGGGATGACGAGCAGATCAGGGCACGGTTGTCCGGCCTACCGCACCCATACACATGATCTTGCACCGGTTGCGCCAACAGCATTCGTGCTGGAGGTCTGGCCTTCTTGGTCCCGCTGGGCACTATCGGAGGGGGTCCGAGAAAGTTACAAAACGTAATTTCTGGGATCTCCGTTCGGATTTATTGGATCGGTGCTGGGCCCCCCTGGCGGCGCCACCCCTAGCGCGCTCCGCGCGCCAGAGACAGGGGTCTAGCGCCGATCCAAAAAATCCGCGTGGACCTCCCAGAAAGCAGATTTGTGCCATTGTTTGTCCCACTACGCGTGGAGACAGGAAGGAGGGGATTAGGAATAAGGCGACGAGGAGAACGAGGACGGAGATGACGAGGACAAGGACAACGAAAGCGAAGAGGGGGGAAGGCAGGAAGGACAAGGCGGAGGAGGAGGAGAAGGAGGAGGAGGAGGAGGAGAAGAAGGAGGGGACGAGAAAGGGGAGGTCCATGAGGACGAAGGAGATGATGACGAGGAGGAGCAGGAGGGAGGGTCTTTTCCCCATCCCGCCACGTTCCGAGGCCGCGCTGGAGGTCCGAGATGGCCACCCGCTCAGCATGGAAGAGGCACTCACCCAGAGCGCGCTTGGGGGGGCCGCCGCCGCCGCCGTCGTCACCGCCGTCGCGCGGCTGAGTGCGCTGTTGCTTCGGCTGTATTGATTCGCTGTTCGGGAGGAATTAAAAACATCAGACTTACAATTTCGGATGTCCGCGCGTACTGATTAAATCGGCGTTAAACACCCCTGGCGACACCTCCGGCGACGCCCCTGAGACGGGTCGCACGCCAGGGGGGGATGGGGTCCACTGCTGGCCCAGGCAACCCGAACAGACCGCTGGAAGTTTATGTTTCTGCTGACATGTGTTATTCTAGCTGTTCTAGCTGTGCTCCCTGCCACTAGCTGCCACTGCCCCTGCCCCTGGCCCTGCCGCCGCTGTCCACCCGCTTTCACTGCGCAGCAGGTCTACAGCGGGCGGGCGGCTCCGTCGCCCGGGCTGCTGGTGCACACGCGTGGATACTCCTCGAGGTATTCCTCGGGCCCTCGCAGGGGGTAATCGTGCGGTCCCTTCTCGATCGGGGAGTCCGTGGTCTTGCCCTCTGGCTCGAGCTTCGTAAGGCGTAGCCTTTCAGTGTTTTCCTGGCTTGTCCCCACCAGGCCGTGGACCGCACCAGCGGCATGGCCGCAGGTAACCATGTGGCAGTCGCCGTGGTCCAGGTCGTGGTCGCTCTGGCCCAGCTCTGCGAACTCCATACCGCTGAAGGCAGGCGCCGCCAGTGCACAGGGCCCTGGGCAGTGCGCCAGGCTTAAGCTGAGATGCCTGCCAGACTGAAGGGGTCCTGAAATTAAGCCTGCGCGTCAATGTGTCGCCCTCGCTGCTGGAGATCAAGTCCAGGCTGAAGTCTAGCCCTCAGGAAACCAACCGCGCATCGAAAGCCGACGATGATGAGCAGCCACAGGAGGGGAGCACGGGAACAGTGCTCCGCACGAAGCCGTCACGCTGAGATCAAAGGCGGCACAAATTGATTCAGCCGCCTTGATGAGGGGAGGGGGCGGCCCCACCCTCCTCGCCTGATCCCTTTCGAGGTGGTGGTGCTACACGGGTCTCCTCCTTCTCGTCCGCCTCCTCCGCCTCCTCCTCCTCCTCCGCCTCCTCCTCCTCCGCCTCCTCCTCCTCCTCCTCCTCCTCCTCCTCCTCCTCCTCCGCCTCCTCCTCCTCCGCCTCTCTCCCCAGGGCGGCCGCTGCCGCCACGGCCGTCGCAGCGCCAGAGCACCGGCCGCACGTGTGCGGGCACACACGCCGCTGCAGCCGGAGCCCTCGTGCCCCCGTTCCAGGTCGAAACCTAAGCTCGCGGTCTGGTGCACACGGCTCGCTGCCTCTGGCTGCACGCGCCGCGAGCGCTTGGCTTGTTGCTCGGCCTGTTGGTCCTGCTGCTGCTGCCGCCTGAAGGGCCCGCCGAGGGCGAGAGCCAGCGATGAGACAGCGTGCACTGGCAGCGGCCGATAACGGTGGGCGGCATGGCCCACGCAGGCGCACGCACGCCGAAGGGCCGGTGCAGTTCCCCCTGCAGCATCACAAAGGTGTCCGCGGTTCGGTCGGCTGCTGCGTCGCAGTCGGTTGCCTTCGGCCGGTTCGGTTCCGTCGGCCGTCGTGTCGTTGCCGCGTCCCGCGCCCTTATAGGCTGCCTGCGGCCTGTCGCCTTCGGTCTCAGTGACGATTCGGTCGGTTTTCGCCTGTGCTGTCGTCGAAGGTGGCATTGAATGTGCAAGCTCGCTGGCCTGCGGCACTCTGCGCGTCCTTCGAGGAGACCTCATCTGTGGCGCAGCCCAGCTGTCGCACTCCCCACCCCGAGGTGCACCCCGAGGACCCGGTCTGACAAATTAGTATCCGGATCCGGAACGATCGCGAAGCAATATTTGACTGACTACTCAGGGCGGACCCCTCTCTCGAATCACGAGCGATGCTCCCTTCGCTTCGTGGTGACATGCGGGGGACCACAAGGGGATGCCAGACCTCTAAATTGCTCAGCCCGAAACATACACAAGCCCTGCAAGTCCACACCTCGCAGACCACATCAAAAGTCACGAGATGACTGCCGTCAATTCACCCCTGAGCCAAATCAATCTGAAGCCCCTGCGGGAGGCTGGCGAAAGTCGTCACGCGAGGGCACAAGGCTGGGTCGGACGAGAGCGACGCTAAGGAAGGGGGGTATCAAATCTGCTGCGCGCAGCTGGTTTCGGCCCCGCCGCAGGGCGCTTTCCTCGATGTATGGGCGCCTCCGGCACCTCCCGGCGCCAGGCAAGCCAGCTGCACGCAACTGATTTGCCAATCCCACCCTCGCGACCGCCCCGAGGGGGACCCCGCCCCACGGGTCTTGCCCACCGTATGCTTCACTGCCGTCGACACGCAGCTCGATCTCGGGCACGACCTCCCGAGCGCAATGTCGTGCATTTTCGAACGCCGGCCTTTCGCTGGTCTGTTTTGCCGTTTCGCTTTCTGGGCGTCAGCATGCGGCCGCCATGTTGCCGCTTTCTGGGTGGACGTCCCGAGCCGCAACGCTCCATTTGAAGGCTCGCCTCGTTTGCGTTTCGCCCGCCGTCTGAAACGAAAGCGAAGTTCAGCTTGCCGTCCTGGTGGAACAGCTGCTTCATGATGGATCCCCCTCTGGCGAGGGTACCCTTGCGGCCCCGTCTCGGCCCATGCTCAGGCAGCGCGGCACGGCCAAGAGAGCCTCGCACGGACGCCCGAGCGCCCTGCGCCCTTCCCTCTCCGACGCCCGACGGCGTGACAACTCGCAGCGCCGCGGACAGCTCATGGCGGGAGCTCCCGACCGCTCTGCGGCGACGGCAACGTCTGAGATGGCGATGGGCGGGCGGCCTCGCCGACCCCTCGCAAGCCGACCCCCTTCCGCGACGACTCCCTCGTCTCGGGCCGAGGCGCAGGGGATTCCCTCGAGCGAGGGGGGGTCGTCACCGAAGGGGCCAGTTTCGTGCGCCCAGGATAGCGACGACGGCGACGGGCCGACGAAGGCGACGGCGACGGCAGCGACGACGACGACGACGACAACGATAACAACGCCGACGACGGCCACGACGACGACGACGACGACGACGACGACGACGACGACGACGGCCACGGCGGCGACGACCGCGGCGGCGACGTCGACCAACGGCAGCGACGACCACGACGACGACGGCCACGACGACGACGACGACGACGACGACGACGACGGCGGCCACGGCGGCGACGACCGCGGCGGCGACGACGACGACGACGGCGACGACGACAGCGTCACTGGTGCGGGGCTACTCGAAATACACGCCGACCTGCGTGGTTGTCCTGGGCGCTGGGAGTTTTGTGGATGTGAGCATTCGTCGTGGTCTTCTCCCGCGTCGCTTGGACCCAGACATCCGCCATCTTCAACATGTTAGCCCGCGTGGGCCCCAAACCGAGTGATTATGGCAATCGGTGTTGTGCAATGCATATTGTGAAATCTATGTGATGCAAGATGTGTTGTGCAATATGGTATGCGCAATCCCAGTTGTGCAGTATATGTGGTAAAACCTATGTGGCGCAATCTCGTTCGTGCAAAATGTTTTGTGCGATATATGCCGTGCAATGTGTGTTGTGATGTGTTGTGCAACTTACATGGTGCAATCTGCGTAGTACAATATATATATATAGCGCGATCCACATGGTACACTATGTGGTACAACATGTGTGACACCACCTGTGATGCAAGATGTATGGTACAATAAACTGTGGGCAGTACACATTGTCACATCTAGGTTGTGCAACATTTCTGGTGCTTTACATGTGGTGCAAGCGATGTGGTGCAATTCACATTGCCGAGCTTGAAGGTGTCGACCCCATTGTTCGCGCAATCATCCCACCAACCCAGCCACAAGTTGGTTTGCAAAACCCATGCGGAAGCGATTGCGATGCGTGCTTGGTGTTGGCTGGTGCATGTTTGCGGCCGCATTATCCGCGAACGCGGTGGCGCTTACCGCTCGGCACATCCCTGCGGGCACTTCAGTGCGAGTCGGCGACTTGTGCGGGCGCAATATCATGGCAACGTCGACAACGGTAGACACGATGATTATAGCAGCGATGCTGGCGACGGTGCTGACAGCGACGGCGGGACAGCTGACGGCGGCAACGCCAAAAACAGCACCGATGCTGATATCGCCGACGACGATGACGGCGTCTTCGCGTTGGTGATGAAGTGTCTGGAAGGGGTCCGATACGCGCGCGCGGCAGACGCGCGAGAGTGCCCCTCATGGTCTTTTTTGACGCGGATCGTGCCGTACCAGCACGCGCGCAAGGGCGTCCGAACGGTTCCGAATTGCGCGCGCGAGGCCTGTTTGGTTGCATTTCATGGAATATTGAGAAACCAATGGTTTTCTCCAGAATTCGCAAGAGCACGCGCGCAAGTTTGTTTTGAAAACCCGTGTTGCGAAACGTTGTGTTGTTGTGTGTTTTGGGACACTCGATTTTGAAGTCCTGACGGAACCGACGGGTTTATGAGGATTTAGGCATGCCTGCACGACGACGCGCGCGCGCACTTCGTCCAATTTGCTGGAAAAAAATATTGGGAACGTATGATTTGTTATAAACGAGTGCGCGCGCATAGAATATGTTGCGGGGGTTGGCGATACCGGTTTGGCTGGCTGGGATGGTACGCGCTCATATTTAGGATGGGCGATGGGGCAGAACCAGATGCAAATTGCAATATGAAAAAAGGAACCGATAATCCCGGGGGGCAGAATCTATTGATTGCTTTTTAAAGACGGGAGAATCTACGTTGTGCAATTTACGTGGTGACGTAGATGTGGTGCACTCTACGTGGTACAACTCACCATGCTGGATTTGAAGTTGTGAACCCCACTGCTCGCGCAGCCATCCCACCCACCCACCCGCCATTTGGTTTGCAAAACCCACGTGGCGGCGATTGCGATGACTGCTCGGCGCTGACTGGCGCATCTCTGCGGCCGCGCTGACCCGCCCATGCTCGCGCGCAAGGCGGTCAGCTAGTCTGGCGCGACCGACGCGGGCGCGGTGGCGTTGACCGCTGGGGATTTCCCAGTGCGCTTCGCAGGCTGCGGTAACGCGCGGGCAGTTCAGTGCGAGTTGGTGACTTGGGCGGGCGCGGTGTCATGGCGACGTCGACGACGGCAAACACGAGGATGATAGTTGACGGCGGCAAGGCCAAAAACGGCGCCGATGCTTACCACGCCGACGACGACGATGATGGTGTCCAAGTGTCGGTCGGCGATGAAGGTTTTGGATGGATGTCGACGTCCGCGCGCGGCCGACGGACGCGAGAGGCCCGCATGGTACGATTTGATAAGGATCGGCACACACACACACACCTCCCCCCCAAGCACGCGCGCCAGGGCGTTCGAGAGATTGCGCTATGCGCACTCGAAAAGCCCGCTTGGTCGCATTAGATGAAAGCATTGAAAATGCACGGTTGCTTCAACAAGTTGCAAGAGCGCGCGTGCAGAGCTTGTTTGAACAAGCATGGTTGTGCACATGTGTATACATGTTCGGGACATTCGGTTTTGACATCCTTCCGAATTCGACGGCTTGTGTTGATTGATTCCAGCATGCGCGCGCGGCGACGCGCGCGCGTGCATGTCGTTTCTTCTGTTGCAAGAGATTGTTGAAGGTGGGGGCGTCGATCCCCGATTGGTTGGGATGATAGGAGCTCGTAGCTGTAACAACAGATGGGGCGTCTTCATATGTAAAGTGCACATATCCAGGGTGAACGGATTATCCCAGGAAGCGGTCCGAGTTAGAGTCCCACAGGAGGGGGAGAGCTCAAGACCGCCCCGTAGACCGCCTGGTCTGGTAGCCGTTTCGCTTGAGATCTTCTCGCAATGTATTCAGGAATCGTGCTCGCGTCTCACTGCGGACTACATGTTTCGTTCGGACGAACACGACCCCTCGGAAACTAGACCAAGGTGCATCTGGCCGTGTTGTCGCCCCCGTCCCAGCACGTCACTAGCCGACCTCTCATTCCTCGACCCGCCTCTTCACCCTTGCTGTTGTTTCAGTGCATTGCTAGGGTACGGCAGGTTCGCTTCGTATCGACGCGTCGGCGACCCCGCCGCGGGAGTTCAACGTTGAACGCCGCCAGTGGCCCATAATCGGCCCATACGGAACGACATGGCGATCGAAAGCCGCCGATCTTTCAAGGGTGAACGATCGACGGGGCGTCAGAGGCCAACGTTGGGGTCATCATGACACGAACTTGCTGTAGTTTGTCCAAGACGCCGGACGTCAGGGCAGCGCCGCTGTCGTCCACAGACCCAGGGAGGAGGGGGGCCGGCGGGAAGGTCGTGGCGTGGCGGGACGCTGTGGGCAGCGCCGCCTTCGCAGGCGCGCGGGGCGTGGGGGCGCACACGGCCGAAGAGCACGGCATGGATGCAGTGTTTTCTCGGGTACGTTCCTTCCTCCACCTCCTCCTCCTCCTCCTCCTCCTCCTCCTCCTCCTCCTGCTCCTCCTCCTCCTCCTCATCTCCTCCTTATCCTCCTCCTCCTCCTCCTCCTCCTCCTCCTCTCCTCCTCCTCCTCCTCCTCCTCCTCCTCCCCCTCCTTCTACTCCTTCTCCTCCTCCTCCTCCTCCTCCTCCTCCTCCTCCTCCCTCTCCTCCTCCTCCTCCTCCTCCTCCTCCTCCTCTTACTCCTGTTCCTCCTCCTCCTCCTCCTCCTCCTCCTCATCCTCCTCATCCTCCTTCTCCTGATCCTCCTCCTCCTCCTCCTCCTGCTCCTCCTCCGCCTCCTCCTCCTCCTCATCCTGCTCCTCCTCCTCCTCTTCCTCCTCCTCCTCCTCCTCCTCCCCCTCCTCCTACTCCTCCTTCTCCTCCTACTCCTCCATCATCATCATCATCATCATCATCATCATCATCATCATCATCATCCTTCTCCTCATCCTCATCCTCCTCCTCCTACTCCTTCTCCTCCTCCTTCTCCTCCTCCTCCTCCTCCTCCTCCTCCTCCTCCACACTCCTCCACACTCCTGCAGCAAGTGAATGAATATTGCAGCGAGCTGCAACATCTTCTTCAGTTCAACAGAATTCGAGATGATGCCGCCCCTGGCGGCAACGGCGCGCCTCCCAGAGAGGTAACTCGCGCCACTCCCGATACTGAATAATAAGGGGGAAGCGGCTCAGGCCCAGGGCATCACCCAGCGAGCTGAGGACCAGTTCCGAGCCTCTGCTGACTACCTCCGCCTCCACACCCCGAGGGATTTTCCCCGCCGACGGGGCATCGCGCGCGGACCTTGCTCCGCCGCGTCGCCTCATGCCGTGGCGGCCTGCAGCCAGCGCAGGCGGCCCAGCCTCCATCTTTGACGGAGGGGCCAGAGATCAGCTGAGAAGAGACAGACTGATGGTATTCAACTGAGCACCACCACCACCTCCTCCTCCCCCTGTTCCTCCTCCTCCTCCTCCTCCTCCTCCTCCTCCTCCTCCTCCTCCTCCTCCTCCTCCTCCTCCCCCTCCTCCTCCTCCTTCCTCAAGTCATGTCGGCCTGCAGCTGGCACATGGTGCGAGGCGGGGGGTGCGCACCATCGGCGGTGGCGGGCGCGGCAGCGCCCATTGCACGCCGATTAGCAGCTTAAGGGGGGCGACCAGTTCGAGTCGCTGCTGAAGATCCTGCTGTCCCACAGCAATTTTCCACGGGCAAAGGCCGCGACTGGAATGCGAAGGACACCAGACATCGCGGGGACCACCGTGGCGCCGCTCTTTTCGTAGAGCAGAGGCAAGAATTTGACGCATTGCACCAGATGCCCCACATGACCAATGAGCAGTTGCATTTGGGTGGGTTGCAATCGCGTTGGCAAGCTTTGTTGGGCCAACTGTAAGACCTGCAGACATGAGTGGAAGCCCAAGGACACCGGTGGCAAAGACGGCAAGCTCATCAGCGCCGCCAACACAGCTGTGGTGGACCTCCTCAGGAGAAAATACGTACAAGCACGAGGCGCTTCAGACCAGGCCAAGATGGACGAGATCGCAGTGGCCTGCCCAGACGCGTTTGCAGCAACACCCATGGAACCAACAGCAATGCCCACGGGACAACGAATCCGGGGGGTGGTCGCCGACCTCAACCGAGCCCACCAGTACCATGACAAATTGACCAAGCATCTGCAGCGAGCCACCGAGCACCGCGACGACATGATCCACAGGATCGGAGACACCATGGTCGAGCTGGCAGGGGCGGGACGCATTTTCCTTGAGGCCAAGGCAGAAGTCGGAGAAGCCCCCACCAGCAGTTGAACAATCGCGACAACCAAACCGAGAAGATGACGCAGAATCCCCCACGTTCACGGCAGAGGAGCTCGCACTTCCGGAGGGCACGCAGAAGAAGGAGCACTAAATCATCCAGGAGGAATTCCAGAGGGCGCGCAACCACATCGCAGAAAAGAAGGCGGCGGTGCATAATTCGAAGACGGCGCTCGAGGCCGTCCAGAAGCTCCACTCCACAGCCAAGGCAGCCACGAAGCGCAAGGGGGATAGCGAAGCTCAAACGGCACCAGCAGCACCAGAGCGAGCATCTGAGCATTAAGAACCAGCACAAGCAGACGGGGCTGGACATGCAGACAACTACAACCTGTCCGATCCAGACCCGATCCAGACCTCCCTCTCCCAGCTCTCGAAGGTCAAGTCGCGCGAAGATGACGGCAGCTACAAGGCTGGCATCGACGCCAGCAGCAGCAGCAGTGCCCGCGCGAGCTCAGGCACCAGCAGATGCCGCAGCTGCAGCAGGACCAGGAGCACCCCCTTAACACAAGCCATTGCGGTAGTTCAGCAGGTCGAGTGCTATGAGTACTCGATTGGTGAGGGCGACTACGCAGGCAACCTAGGGGCTAGCAGGGGAATGAGCCAATCGCTTTGCATGACACATGCAAATCCCAACCCCCCGCAGCCCTGCATCAGGACACTACGGACTTCAACCTGATCAGCACCGGCAGTTCCGTCGAGTTTGAAGACGAGGTTGAGATCATCCAAACGAGTTGTGCTATTCGAGGTAGAGCTCAAGACCTCACGCTGCGAGACATGGATGACGGCGGGCGAGAACAACTATACTGCCAAGGTCTCCATGGCCAACTGCAAGCAAAAAACGATGCAGCCGGAAGTGCATGGAGGACGCGAAAGGACAGCATGGGCCGATTACGCTGCGCGAAGACCACCTCCGCGGGCCTACCGCGGAGATCGAGGCGAACATACTCGCGAAGCTCGGGCGGCATTCGCACGGCACGCGGACGCCAGAGGGCAGTCACCCGGATCCCGCACAGGCACGCTGGGAGCTACGCGCGCCCTGCGGTCGACACCACGGCACGCGAGCCCGCATGCCCGACGCGACGGGCCACGGCATCCTCGCCCAGGAGGCCCGCGACATTTCGGTCGTAAGATGGAGGCTGACGGGCCAAAACATAACGCGCATCACAGTATACCTGGCTGTATCCATCGGATTCGCGGGCGAGTATCAAGAGGGCGAGGCGCCCCCTGCACGTCGCCAGGGGCCCCGACAACACACCTTGGATCATCGGCGGAGACTTCAACGACGCACCGCACGAGCCCGACGTCATTGCCACGGTTGAAGCGACTTGGAAGCGCAGTCGTCGCACCCCCAAGATACCTACCACACTTGCAGCAGCGGGTCGGACAGAATGATTGATCGCGTCATCGCCCCGCCAGATTTCTGGCCAGCTCGGAGCCGCACGCGCAGGACAACGCGCCCCACAGGCACGCGAACTTAGGCATTGCGATCGAGCTCTGGGCCAAGCCAGCAACAATCAGCATGCGCAAGTCGATGCAACCGGCCAGGAGGCCAACATCGACGGTGGACATCGGAGCAGAGGAGGGACTGAAGAGACAGCAGCGCGACAGACAGCAGTATCAGCACGCATTCGAACACGGCGACGAGCTCACCACTTAGGAAGTAGACCTTCGCCACCGCAGTTCCCATGCAGCGCGATCCGAAGCGCTGGGGCGCCATGCGCGATGGGCAGCGCGACGCCCCGATCTGCGATCTTCTGGAGCGCATCCAGAATTCGCTCGCAGACCAGCAGAACCCGCGCAAGAGCAATCCCCCAGGACGGCCCTACGGTACCTGGGCAAGTGCAGCTGAGAGGATTCTGGCCGCCGTTACGCATGCGCCAATACGACCCTGAGCGCGACGGGGCCGGCCGGCACGGTGCATCGAGGCACCGCGCCCACAACGCATCAAAGGTAAGCAATCGCATGCGAACGAAGCAGACCAGCAGCAGCACTCCAGCACCATATGGGCCACTCTACACAAAGCTGCCGAGACGGAGAATTTGCGCCACAGAGACACCCGAGCGATGGCAAAGCCCGCTTGAACAAGGTCTGCGCCGACATAGTGGAGATCAGAAAGCGGACCCAGTGACACCGACAGGCTTGGCCGAGATTGGTTACCTAGCCCAGCAGGCCTGCCTCTCGGCCAAGAGAGCTATCAGATTGCCCCACCAGCCCGACCCAGACATCGCCGCCGATAACCCCACGGAGTGGGCGAACGCGCGAGAGGCTGCCAGCGCGAGAGCGGAGTGGCATCCGACACAGACGTGGAAGCGAGTCCGCGAGCAGGTAGCCCAGTGGACACGCCCAGCATTATCCAGAAGCATGAAAGGGGCCCACTTGTACATCGGCAAGCACGCCCCCACGCCACCGCGGTCGCATGTCCCAGTCACAGGCCCAGCGGTCTCTAAGCCGGAGCAACTAAACAATTGTTCCCAGGGTAAGAAACATATCACCCAGCGGCCCGACCAATACAAAACAATCAAGACGCCGCGATTTGATCAAGACGCCGCGATTTGTCAAAGATCTGGCGTTCGATTCTGCACTCGGTCGCAGCACGTTCAATACGCAGGTGAGCCCCGCGGAAGAACAGCGCGAGCCGAGCGCGCCAAGATATTCAGCGAACAAGAAAACACACGGAGAGAACAACCAGCCACGCTATTCAACACCAACCCACGCGCGAAGCATAATAACGGTTGGCCCGTTACTTGAGTAAGCCCGAATGGAGCACGACACGCGCGAGAGCGTCAGCACGGGTGGACGACGCACGCTCACGATCAACGCGATCTTTCCATGAGAGAACAAGCCAGCAACAGGACGCTTGCACCATCAAATCAAAGAATGGACTCACGCGCGGCAGCGCGAACGAACAGCACGCGATCGACTTCGACAGAGGTGGCAGGAGAACCTGTGGCGCTTCCAGCATGCGCCCCCACGTGGCAAATTGAATGCAGCACCTTGTCCAAATGGCGCTCTCATACTGACACTCCAGCAGCTGCAATGGATACCAAGCGAGACAGACGGGAAAGGCACAGAAGATCAGGACATGGATTCCAGAGATGTCACGCGCGCAGTGGCCAGGGAAACGGGGCAACTGTTTTCGAACACCGCGAAGGACCAATACCACCACAGTGTCATGCAGAACGGACTGGGCACAACAGCCCTATAGACATGCTGCACCGCCTACGCAAAGTAAACCGAGCGAAGGAAGCAGGAACATTAGAAGTAGTAGCATGTGGCGCAGTTTGCACAGTCGAACGTTGCCGACATGTCGGCTACACCACCGACGGGATTTGCACATGCTGCGGTACAGCCTGGGCACACTCAATCACCGATTCCTCGAGCGCGGTGCGAACGAGAATCTCAACGTCAAGGCCGTCACCAAGTCCCAGAACGAATATCAGGTGGCCAGGGCAGGGATGTTCACCGACCCCGACAGCGAGGCGCCCTGGCTACGTCACAACCCAATCCCAGATGCACCTACCAAGGGAGACTGGGATCGAGGTTACGGGGCGACGGCACCAAGAGGACCCACGGTGAACATGGCGCCTGGCACCCAAGTGCGCAAGGTGGCGTTCATCGATGCATCTGGCACGTGCAACGACATGCGCATCAACAGAGTTGGCTGGAACATCAAGATAGTCATGCACCCACCGTCAACGACGATCACACAGAGCACAACGACCCTGAGGCTGGTGGTGATGTTGTTCAGACCGCTGCAGCAGCGCGGGCGCGCATTGATCGCCCCCTGCGACGGGGGCAGAGGGCGCGGGCACGACGGAAAGTTGTCGACGCGATGTCAACGGAATGATTCAATTAATATGGGACGCCAGTTGTCGACCAGATGTCAATAGCAAAGTTGGGCAGACAGATGGGACCAACCACATTGGGCATTACGGCACAGTGGACGGCGAGCATACAGTTCCAGCAGCACAAGACGCAGCGCTCACTATCTACACGGACTGCCAGTAGGTTCACAGTAGTTGGGCTCAGAAGTATCACGACAGGCGTCAAGGTGCTACGAAAGGCTGGTGGTAGAGGATTGGCCAAGTATTGCAGCGCCGACCTGGAGATGGCCATGGCATCCACGCATCGCAATGCTTCCCCCTCCAGGACAAGGATTCAATCCTCATGACAGGCCAGAGCCCCGAGGCATGCCTCAGGAACGAGCTGGCGGACACCCTGGTCCAACGGGGCGTCGGAGAAGCACGACATGACATCCGACAAGAGGGACAGCGTTTGGCAGATATCGAGATGCGACTCATCAGGACCCAGCAGCGCGCGGCAGCCGTCTCCCACGAGTTCTGCAAGGACGTGGACATGCCGAAGCACGATCGGAGGAGGCCCACGCCAAAGGATACTGCAGAACAACGCCGGCTGCAAATCGAGACGGAGCCTAGGCACACAATGAGAGGGCCAAAGGGCATGCCAAGAGTGCTGGGAGTCACCTGGCAAGCACAGCGTGACCGGCTGGATGAAGGCAAATGCGTTCTCCGGGCGGCAATACCAAATGCACCGAGCAGACCGTAAACACGCCGCGCAAGTACCCAACCACGAGTTGATTGAGATCCACGGCGAGGCCATCCACCATAGCCACCACATCGCAGTCGCCCACGGCCAGCTTTGGCCTCGCACAACAGCGATGGACGAGGGCTAACCGGACTGCTGGCCGACGAATGCGGAGACAGAATCACCGCAGCAAGCCGCGAGCAAATCCTCCAGCGGCTGCGCCAAGGGTAACCGCCGAAGGCTGATCAGAACTGGTCAGACGGCTTTGCGCCGCCCAACGGCGGCAAGCTTCCACGCGCTATTGCTGGGCCGCGCCGACCTGCACTTGCGCGACCAGCGCGCGGTTGAGCACGCGGCACATGGGGCGGTCGCAGGCGATCTGGCCCATCAACCCCCGCAGAGATTGCGCCCCGAAG